CCATCCATTCATCCATTCATCCATCCATCCATTCATCCATCGTCCATACATACGTACATACATCCTTCATCTTTTCCTGTTTCTTCCTTTTTGGGTCGTGGGGGTCACTGGTGCCCATGTCCAGCCATCACTGTGCGAGCGGAGGGGGACACCCTGGACATGTCTCCAGTCCATCACAGGGACACCTCGGGACAATTCACAGTTCCCAATCCATCTAACATGCATGTTTTTGGTCTGTGGGAGGAAACTGGCGTACCCGGAGAAAACCCACGCAGCACGGAGAGAACATGCAAACTCCACTCAGAAAGACCCCCGGCTGGGGTTTGATCCAGCGACCTTCTTTTTTTTCATTATTTTTTTTTCATTTACCCTTTATTTATACAGGTAGTCTCATGGTCTTCTTGCTGAGATGTAACAGCTCAACCCACTGCTCCATCATGCAGCCTGTTTAAGAATTTCAAACAAATGAAAGAAAATATTTTAAAAGTGGCTAAAATAAAACCATAACTAAAAACAAGAAGCAGTCTTGTTCCAGCTGGTCAGACTGGTATCTGGAAGGTTTGGAAACACTAAAGATTCTTGTTTTCGTGGGTCCTGGGTGGTCAACGCAGGGTCTTTGTGTGCACGTTAAGGTTCTTTTATTGAACCCCTGCACAGAGCCTGCACAGGTTCTTCATGGTTCGGAGCACTAATCCTTGTCTTGGTGGTGTCAGAGTGTGCTCATGACGTGGGGCCCACGCCGGCTGGCTCGGATGTCAGAACTTAAAGCGACCCTAGCCTTGGAAGACGACCAAACTACATCCTGATGTGTCTGAGGCGGTGGAGCCCGAGAGGCTGTAGAGAGCTTGGTGAAGGTGCAGGAGAGTCCCAGACAGGGAGGAAGCATCATGATGGAGCAGCAGCGCTACCAGACTGCTGTGTGAGCAGAACCTCAGCAGTTCTGACGTGGTCTCATGAATCTTCTCAGGGTTCTCGCATCTTACTCAAGGCCATCTTTTTAACGTCATCTCGCTTGTGTTCATGAGTGTTCAGGACTCGGTACTTCTGTGAGTAATTACTGGTGCTGCTTGAGGCTTGAAGTGGTAACGACTGATTTTGGAGCCAACAGATTGATGGGAGCACTGGAGGCTGCCCCCTTTATCTGCTCAGGACCAGCTGACTTCAGTTTTCCATCCCTCTGGTTTTGCAGACGGCCCTCTGGAGATGCCCCTTTTCCAGATCATTCCCTCCCAGAGGCAGCTTGTTTTTCGGGGGGACGGGCTGCCGCTGCAGTGCACCGCCTCCTACGTCGACCCATCGGTAGAGCTGCAGTGGCGTCACAATGGCCACGCTGTGACCACGCAGGAGGAGTGGGGCGTGCACGTGGAGGAGAGCCTGCTCCATGACTGCTGCCTGCTCACCAGGTACTGTCAGACACCGCTCCGATCTCCTGAACCTACTTTAGGCCACTCGCTAGTCGCCTGTATCCCAACATGTAAACTCATCAGTGTTCATACTCACATCATGCACAGCTTTTATTGACCTGCCTTTTTCAACACTTAAACTCACACACACTTAGCTCAACACAAATCAGAAGCTAAAATATTAAAATGCTAGCTAAGAGTAAGAAAACACCAAATAAGATCTAAAAGTTAATAGTAGCAAAATGCTAGCTAAAAGCTACAAGATGTGCAACAACAGCTAGAAATAGCTCAAAGCAGCAAAAAGATTTAAATTCTGAACCAGAAGTCACAGAAATATTTCTGACTGCATTTGTGCACAAAAATATTTTAGACTTAAAATTCTTCTTTGTTCTTGTTTTTTCCCAGAACAAAATGTTTTTTGTTGCTTCTTGAACGCAGAGCTAAATAACTGTGGGTTTGTAAAAAGGCTAAAAGACCTTTTTGCTCCTGTCCAAACACTGAATCGTCCTGCTTTACTTCACCAACCAATCACAACGCACTGTTGCTGTTGCTAGGCAGACTTCGTTCACATCATA